AAACCCCATAGTGCTAAGCGGCTTAGTACCTCGTAAGGGCACTGACGCCTGACATATCCATGTATACCCTGCTCCGAATTCTCGCGATTCAGGGAAGGTTTCCTCCGTGGTTGCTTTTGTCCTTCGAGACTCCGAGAACCTCTGCAAATCCTATCCAGAATGTTTTGCGATGATAAAACCTTGAGACCAATTGTCCTAATTCTGCAACATTTCTGAGATTTATCTATTTATATGTACTTTCCTGCAAAATTCAATTGTCTGAGATCAATCGTAGAATGTTAACGAGGGGATAGACAGAGGCAGCGTTCACAAAATCCGATCTTACTAATTAATTTGATTATTGATATACTTGACATCGTTATTACGAAATCAATCTATAATTATCGCATTGCTTTACAAACAAGAAACCTACGGCTCTCTAATATTTCGTTTTTCCCATGAAGTTACCACCGCCCCGTTACGGAGGTAGCAAGGGCGGCGCGTGACACACCCCCATTGAAGTCCCATGCACGGGATATACTTAAATTAAACGGACGCCGGTGTCGCATTATGACGCAGAATAGCAACTTATATCTAACCTCTCATTAACCCCGTGTGAACCTGGATTGCGACCCCACGTGAAAACCGACACGTCGATTTTCAAACTGAAAATCTGCAGAGGGGTGTTTCATTACCGGTTACGTCGAGACGCGAGTGACATTTTAAGCGGACTCATATGCGCGAGCGTTGGGAACGCTCGGATTTTTCGTCAATGACGCTTCGAATTTATGTTACTCTATAACAATTAATCAAATTTATACAGAGTATCCTATAATCACCGTACAATATTTTCATAGCGCGCCTTGAAATTAATTAATTTTAGTATGAAAATATTGAGTTTGTAATAATCTTCGAGTTACGAGTAATCAAAGTTTGACTCGTTATTTATTCTGATTCTTATAAATTAGATAATATTAATTTTTACAGCTCAATTTGTTTTGTTTTTTAGTAGTTTATATATATATGGTATATAATAATCTGTTGATATTTATCTTTTTTAAGAGGATTAAATGTCGAAAATTTTAATCATTACTTGCATATGATTTTAGTCCTTTTATATTAAAATTGTAAATGTTTAATTATTCTATTGGTAAAATGTTGCAACATTTTTGTATTATTTTCTTTGATTTTAATTAATCTTTCGAATATATTCGACAGCTGTTTCGCTAAACCGGATTTAGGACGTCCGGTTTAAGCTACAGATGTAATAATTAATTTGCAAATTATAAAAATATCCATATTGAAATTTTTTTTACGGGAAGATCGATTGATTACGAAATCACACGATATCATAGGTGAAAATACTAGCTTGTCGCTAACTACTATTGAGCCGAACCGCTCGTAAAAATGCTGAAAACAGATCCCCTTAATCAAATAAAGCCCTTACCGGATGACGATCGATGTTACAAATATTTGTTGATTTTTCGGCACTAGTCGAGGCGAGAGTACACAAATCAGAGCGCGATTCATCGGCGCGCGAGCGTGCGCCATTCCGCGTCATCGTTGCGCCGATGATTCACACAATGCTTATCTTTCTTCGTGCCCGTTTCACGCTTTTCCGAGTCCTCCTCCGGACCCTTAAGCAGCTAAGGGCCCGTGATCCGCGATCGCCGTGGCCGGAAGAAGAGATCGAGAGCAGGGGCGCGGCGAGAGCCCCGAAAACTTCTTTACCGCAACAATGGCGTGCGCCGATTTTAAAAAGATCGAACGAAGATTTACCGTCACTTTCACACCTCCCCGCCGGTCGACCTAAGACCTATAACAAATACCTGATGGGCGTAATCTTGGTCGGGGCCCTCCCGCTACGGTGGGACCCCTGCGCCGGGCCCCATTATGATATTCGCGGTATTGTCGAGGTGTCGAATCTGTCTACAAATAACCACTAGAGAAATGGTTACTCAGTCGTTACTCTCTTTCGCTCCCTTGGCTCGTCCCTCCGTCCTGCTCCCTTCATCGCAGGAACACGCTGCCACCTCTCGCTTGCACGCTCGGTCTCCGTTCATCGCCCTCTTACCCCCTCACCACCGTTCTCATTCCGTGTCTCTACTATTCAGAGTGGACTACATTATTTCGTTGTAAGGCCTCGACCACGCCGCATTATCCTAAACATCTAAATCCGGACAGCTGGAGCCCGCTCAGGGACTCTCAACTTGGCTCTCAGTAGACGTCACATAAATATTATATTTCTAAATTTCTGTATTCTTTTTCGTAAACGATTATGAGCTCGTGGTAAATTATCACTTACACGTCACTGTGTATTAATATGTGAGGTATAGATAACCCGCGAATGAACGTTTATAATTCAATGGTATCAGGAATGAATGGGAGTAATAATACTTTTTATTATGCACCTAGTTCGAACTACTTTTTCCTGCATATAAAAAAATTAATTAAAAGTCCATTTTATTCTCCTGAGCTCGATATATTATTATGTAAAGTTTACATTAAAGCATAGAAAGCAACCAAAGATATTTTTCAATTGTGTATGACTGCGTCAAACCGTTCTCAACTCGAGAGCTTCGTGCTATTTCAACGTTGATCATGAGAACCACTTCCTAATGAATGCGCCAGAGGTGTCAGAGCAGCAACTGTCAAAACACGACCGGCAAGACGGTGACCGTGCCATCGAGTGCACGACGGAGATAAACGATAGTAGGGCGTGAGTAGAGGAAGACAGAGCGGACCTTTTCACGCCATATTGGATATACCTTCAAAACAGTGCATGCCACCGGAGCCTATCGATAATCGCGACACCCATCCCTTTATTCCGCCGTACGAAATTCCCGCAGGCGCGTGTACGTTGCGAACAAAACAGACAGTTGTTCCGGGGTAGCGTTTTTCAGCCTCTCTCCCCTCCTCTTGTCGAGTTATTGTCAATGCGATCCTCTGGTCAAGTAAACCAACGTTTTTTCCACGAATAGGCCAAAACCCCACGACTTCATTTTTTTCGTCTTTCCCCTCCTGGAGACACAAATAATAAGTTCGATCACTGATCAACACTTTATTGCGCGTACATGTTAGGGAAAAGGTAAATTTTATTGATCGCTCAATATTTTCTGTATTAAAAAAAAATGTCCGTGTTTTTTTAATTTATTAATTTTTTAAATTGATTTACATGTATTTGCTAAGTTATAAAATCTTAGCTGATATTACGTTACGTGGCCATCTCAAAATCTTTTCGTGCAATTTTCGCGAGGAGTGAAAAAGGATGTAGCGTATCACATAGAAACAACGTTACCACGACAGACACGCGTCCCGTGATTTCTTTTAAAAGTCACCGGCCGAAAGCCGCCGTGGCGAGTCCGAGAGTGCTACGTAAAAGTCCGCGTATTGCTCCATTCCCCGCATCCCAACGACTCCATCTTCGTGTCTGGAAATCTACCCAGCTGCCGAGCACCGGCGAAGGGGAGAGACGGGGCGGACGTGCGATAGAAGAGGAGGAAGATGGAGGCAGCAGGGAGAGAGGTGGTGAGAGAGAGAGAGGAAGTGGTCGCATGTGGAGGCATCAGGCAGGGTGGAGTCGACGTTGAGAGAGAACTTAGGCGTGCGCCCTGGGCATATCGGCTTTTCGGGAGAGTCTTGGTCGATGCTCCCTGGTTCCTGGTTAACCCGCGGGATCAGTTACAAGGCGACCCTGCCAGCCGATTGGTTCATTTTGTCAGCGACACCCGCCCACGCTGCGTTATCGCGCAACTACTCTGTCTGCCTGCCTCTCCCTTCCGCGGCTCGTCGTCTCTCTCGTTCTATCCGCCTCTCCGCTGCTTCTCCCCGTCTCGTTTCTACCTGTCTCGCTGCTTTTATCTGTCCATTCCGTCTCTCTGTCTCTCATCGTCGATAATCCGTTCTTCCCACATCGCGTTCTAACACGCGTTTCGTGCTCGAGCCTACCGACTCGCTTTTGACCTTCGACGAAAAGGAAAAAAAAATGAAATAAAAGATCGTCTGGACACGACTCTAAGATTGTTAACGGCCGATGACTCCGCAATTTTTCGACGACTTGGCGTGGAAGCCGTGCGACGTGCGAACCTGTGGGAAGGCCGGGGCGATTTCAGCAACGACGTGTTCCTTCTCGCGCGGTATCGTTTTAATCGTGCAGCGACACGCGAGCGTAATGAGGAATTGCTAATGAGTGGTTTTATAAATAAAATAATAATTACCATTTCGGGGCGCACGCATTTTTCAACGTCGCACGTCGTGTAAAACGACTCGCGAGGGAGCTCTCTCTCTCTCTCTCTCTCTCTCTCTCTCTCTCTCCGTTTGCGATAGCGATTTCGTTATCGCGGGATCGTGTGTCCGGCGTTGTCGAATCGCGCGGCATAAATGTTAAGCCATTTTAATGCGTCGATGCGTTTAACACGTTCCGTGGATTATGCGCGAAATTTGCCACTCCGTTTAACAGTCAGGACCGGATAGGATGTATAATGGATGCGAGGATGCGGACAAAATACTCATGATGGTCCGTTGTAATGTCATAATAATCTGTTAATATATTTTCGCGCGAACGTATGTACAGGCGCAAATAATAATAATAATAATATTAATATTAATAATATTAATAATAATGCTTCATTTCTTCGTCATATATTTATATATGTATAATTCCGTATCGATAGTCTTTACGTGTCTTTACCTATAATATATGTATATATGTATATTGTATGTATAGTGTACGTACTGTTGTAATATGTTCATATTTATAAGACGGATTATACAAGAATTTCGCTAATCGAGTCTATCTACAAAGAGGAGGGTGAAAGCGTGAGGTTCCTATCATCTCGCGCTTATTAGGATCGATTGGCCATACCCGGCCTCGAAAGTCTCTTCTACACTCTTTTCATTTCCAGAATGACGCAGGCCTTCCCCAAAGAGCCAGGCGATTAATGAAATGTACAATGTCGCTAGTTTCTACTTAACCTAACGGGGTGGGAACTGACGGGGGGGGGGGGGGGAGAAGAGGAGAGTGTAAATTGGCTCGTTTGGGTATCGCACTCTTTCCTCTAGAATAAGTCGTGTTTCTCTCTCGTTCAGACCCGAGCTGTTTTTTGCAGTTTTATCTAGAGCATGAAGCTTTCTTACTCTCCACGTACGAGGGAGTACACTGATATAGTACAATCATACTAATAACATGGACAATCCGACATGTAAACAATTATGCTACGAATGTAACTGAGGTCCCAAAATAATATTACTAGTTCGCAAATAAATGTCGTGAGGAAGAGGCTGCAGACATATATTTTTGTCTCTTATATTATATCAAATAAATTTATGAATGGATGAGAATAATTTTGGAATGAAATGCAGAAAGGAGCGACAATGGAATGTATTGAATGAACTTCATCAATTGAAATGAAAATTACGGTTTGATAGAAAAAAAAGGATCGTATTCAGTACCTTGCAAAAAATGTGGAGTTTGCTAAAATATCTGGTAGTGTCGGTTCATTGTTAGCACGGGCAAATGAGAAGCTATTAAAAAGAAGTAGAAATAAAGGAAATATAGAAACAGATCTTATTAACGACCTCAGTAATATGATTCAACATAATTGTTGTGCGTTTACGCTTGCTTTAAATCAAAGAAAAGAGAGATACAAAATGAAGACAAAGAACTGCTCTTGGGTGCTAGAGAATCTTTGTGGCTACGACATTTTCCGACTTTTCAAATATCGATATCGTAACGCAGTGATCTCCGTCTGTGGCTAGATATTGGGAATTCGTGTTTTCGGCCATTGAGTCTCACGATGAAATCACAGTAGCGAGTCCAACTTCGAGTTCTCTCGCATTCTCGTCTTGTAGACTGGTTTGTTACTTCGATGTCCGGCAAAATATAGGATTTTCGCACCAAAAAATCGAAAGAAACCAATATACGTGTAAAAGAAGTCGTAACTTCTTTAAAAACGGATTTCAAGAAATCTTGAGAATTTGTATTTTTCAGAACTCTCAATTATGTAATTACTTTTCTGAAAGTAAACACATAATTTCTTTATCACATACATTTTTACATAATCGAAAGTAACTAAAAACAAAGTGGATTTTTTCGGAAATATTTACGGCTCTCGTGAAAATCCTGTGCAACCCGCTGCGTGATTAAATCGATCTCGGAGACTATTCGTGATAGAGTATTAACTAGAAAGCGGCACTATGTACAAACTATAAGACTCACTGCATCTGGTTCTTGGATTTTGATGAACGGACGAGTCGGGAACGTCCAACGGAAGTTATGTACATACCCTGACCGTTCGGTTTTTAATCCGAGACATTGCACTTATTTATAGCGGATTTGCACTCACTTTACGAAGCGTCTATTCCCGTGTTTTATAAGAGCGTCCTATCACACATCACAAACGAATTCTTCCTAAGATTCATAGCGTAGTTATGTCTTCGAGTAACTTTCGACAATGTATCTACTGATATCGTTGATTCATCTTTGTGTACATCGTTTCTAAGCTCTTTAGATTTTTTTTCGGTGACGCTAACTGTTGTCGAGGAAGAAAGCCATCTCGCTAGATACTGGCTCACATCTTGCATCTATCTGTGAATAATCTCCGTAGCTTCATCGATCCTAATCCGTTCCGTTGTATCGGTCCTGATGAAATTGTTAAAAGTTTCCCGTGGAATATCGTATCAGATCTGCGATACCGCGCACATTTATAATTTCCTAGACACAACCGATTCTTCCCCGTACCTCGTGGAACTTGCCGATCCGCGAAGACCTAGATCGCTGTCCACTTGATCGGATCCCCCGCCTTCACAACACCTCGAAGCGTTCGTTCGCGATGTCACCGCACTTGTAGCTCTTTTTCGATATGAGACGATCATCCGTGCCTACGGTGTCTTGCGATTCGTCGTCCTTGTCGTATCACGCGGGCGAGAATGGCCTGTGGATCTGCGGTCTCGGATTCGCTGGCGGTGGCGTTGCGACCCTTATCAGCCCCTGACCTTGGGACTGACTCTGAGGTGTCGGTTGACGGGGAGGTGGGCTGCCTCGGGACGAGGGGGTGTGTGGGCTAGGTACAGCCACCCTCAGCGGACCAGTGACCGACAGATTTGCCGCCATTAACGGCGGGCTGTGGGCCTCCGATAAGCTGTCCGAAAGACGAGATAACCCGCCGTCGGATAATCGCGACGTTTCAGATATCCTAGATATTCCTTCGGACAGCTGGTGCTGGGGGTGCGGGTGGTGTAGCAGACCGTCGTGCGGATGGAGTCTCGGCGGTGGCAAACCCAGCGCATCCGGCAGTCTGTAATAGAGTAAAGAGAGAACTGCATTTTCTCTGGAGAAAATACAGTTTAGCGGAATCGCGGTCTATTATGCGACGTCTTGTTATTGCAGTGGTATATAATAATACTAAAATATATACGTATGCAGTTCACGTAGATTTGTAGATTCTTGGGATAGATGGGACAAAAATCGAGGAGAATAACGGGATATCTCGAAAAGAAACTCATGAAAAGAAATCGGCTACGAAAACTTACCTCGTCGCCGGATCACCCCTGGGCCCTACAGCCTGGAAAGGGCTCGACTCCGCGAACCTGAAAATTCCACCACCCGGCATATTCGGGTGGTTAGGTTGCGGACTGTGCGGTCCGAATCGGAAGCTCGTCGGTGGAAACTTGAAAGCCGTCGTATGGCCGAATCGAAAGTGCGGCTGCGTAGGATCGAAACGGAAATTCAAAGAGGGTGGTGGCAAAGGTCCGAGAGTTCCAAGGGGTACCGGGGACGGTTGGTGGTTCGGTGGCGGCGAGGAACTTGGCGATGGCGGGGATGTCCCTCCGAGGGAAATGTCGGATTCTTCGCTACTACTGCCGCCGGGCCCCGGGCTCAGGGTACGCCGCGCATTTCCGTTTCCTTGCCCCGACTGTTGCTGCATTCTGCTGTAAATAACGTGTAATTCACGGTTAATATCTAACGACATTATCGGTGCAATTAAGGATCGCAAGATGGTTGTCCGAAAGTCACTGATAGTTTAATAAACGCGAGCGAAATTAATCAAAGAGAAGAGATAACAACACAACACACTAGAGGTTAAAAATAAATTTTAGTGAATAGCTAGACTGATATAGAGCATTAGCATTTATCTATAACTTAGATTCGCTAAGACTGCATACAGAAATTATATTAGTGCGTGAAAAATTAAGCAATACACACATTTCAACAAAGCACTGGACAAGGGAGGGGTAAGAAGTGCAGCGAGAAATTACAACAGATGTTTCAAAAAAATTCCAAAAATCGCGATAAATTATTTGAATCGCAATCGCGTGTTTAATTTCCTCAACTCCGCCGTCTGGTTTCGCGTGGGCAATGAAGAAGGTGGTTAGACAAAAAAGGGAATGAAAGGGAAAAGGAATTGTTCGCTGCACGGAGTCTAGATCGGTTAGCTTTCCGACGGGGAAGAAGGCGCGTGTGGTCGCGATGGGAATTTTAATTCGTTCCCGCTTTAGGTGGCACATGGGTTGTGGACGTGGTGCATATGCGCGGTACTGAAAACACTTTGTTTCCAGTCATCGCCGCGCGGAGAGCGCGGCCGTAATTAATGAGCGCGCTCATCCTTCCCAGGTGGAGGCGGCCGAGGATTCACGGGAGAGTAACGACGATCTCCCGACGACGGGCTCTCGCATAAAGGAGGGGATCCACCTCATTACTCGGCAGATCACGTATAGATACGGGAAAACACGGTAAACTTCACACGCGCGCGAAATGACGAATGACCGTGCGTTAGGGTAGTCGAGGTGTTCGGTGTATCGTCGGGGGACGGGAAAGGTATTATCCGATCTTGCACCACCGCCTTAAAAAAAAAAACACATAGGCGCTCCTCCAAGCGGCAATTAAAGATTGTCGTGATATCCCGGATCGGATTGGAATTAACTCGTTAAGAGCCCCGAGCTTCGCGAGATCACGCGCGATTACGATCTTGGGAATCGGCCTTATCGAATCGCAGATCGTCCGATCGATCATGGAATCCCGCGATGGGAACGAGAACGTCGAGGTCGCGCCGGAAGTGGCGGAAAACGGAGATCGACTCGATAAATGTCATCAAGAAAGCCCGTTATTTCGGAAGCGGACGATCGTGTTTGTCGCCTATTGACTCGCGATTGCAAGGCGGGAGGGAAAGGAGAAGGAGGAGGAAAACCACCCCCGCTTGGAAATACAAGGATGAAGAGCGCGCGCGAGAGTCGTTCGCCATTCTGCTAAAGACAATGAGGCGTCGCGGTCGTCTTAAAAGCCTCTCGGCCGCAGATCGATCCTGTAGCAGGGCTTCCGAGATCCTCTCGTATTTTCTTTGCTAATCGAGTCTCGAGTCGGACTCGTACTGTTACCACGGTAACGCCTCCTCGAGAGGCGGAAACGTCGGATTGTTCGTCCTCTCTCCCTCCTCTCTCTCCCTCGTTCTCTCTCGCTCGCGATCAGAGAAAAAACCCCGATTGCGAAGAACGGTAACCTCGAGACGAATCACCTGTCTCCGAGAAAGGCGTTCGCGATGCAGATCGATCTCATTCGCAATATCTACAATTTTTAATTCCACCGAGAAAGATAATACGATTATCGCGGTATTCCTGTTATTGTACGATGTTAAGTGTTTTAGTATAATATTTTGATTAAAACTGGTGCTTGTGTGTCCTTTAAAATAAATTCACCATTCCGCAGAGAAGAGATCCGGGGACGGCGGTGAAAAAAGGAAATTAATGACGTTTTTTACGAGCCTCATCACTCTCGAAATTTGCCTTCGCCTAAGGTTATTTAATTAATACCACGAAAATGCGTCTTGCATTTTACGCGCATATTCATGCAAGCTCCCTGTTCATCGCGTCTAATGGTGTACTCAGATAGATTAATATGACACGTTCGCGCAGAGGCGAATCCTTCCGACGATGGTGTTGAAATAATCTCCGATCGTACGTAGCAGGTACCGCGACTGAAGAGCTAAAAAGTACGCGATGTGTTAATCAGATGAAATAGCGTCATGTTCTTGCCAACGCAATCGGGACTTGATCGTGGTTGAATTATACTCGTGAATAATGAAATAACCGACCGTGAATACACGCGCCATTCGATTTTGATTTTGCGCGAGCACGGTCATGGTACAAAAGACAAGAGCGGCTATTAACACGTGATTCAAGATCCGCTATCACAAGCGGGAATCGAGTTCCGTTTTATTACTTGTCCTTTCAATTCTCTGTTCACTTATCTCTCGTTTGTTATCTGATATATCCGTTCTGCGCATATATGCATTTATATTATACATGCTATTGTATCTTGCTGAATTTTCGCCAGCCCGCAACTTTTAATACGTATATAGCGTTAGATTTTTTTTCCCCCCCAAACACTTTTCAATTAATTTACTGCTTCGCCGACGCATTAACACGAATGCAATTTTTACACTTTTGCAAGTTTCGCTCTTTTTTTCCCCTCCTTCATTCTTTCACCCACGCCATCGCCTTTCTCCTCGTCGCTCGCCCCCATACGCGAGACATCCGACGCGTTTTAATTATGCTCCTGGACCGCTGGCCTTTATCTTCGCCCTTTCACGAGATACCCGCACGAGGCGGCACAACTTATTATGTGCCAGGGCCTTCCGTCCCGTCCCACACGGTGTTCCACGGCGATCGTCCCCATTGAAATCATCTTAATGTCGTGGCATTAAAATGCGGGGACTCGGGTGTCAATTTTTCGGCGCGCACAAAAGGGGTATTAAAGCTCCGCGGTTTAAATTTCGTACCGTGCAGCAGTCCGGGCCTTGCTAATTGCGATAGGCGACAAATCGAATGAGTTTCAGCTGTAGCGATGTTGTCCGCGTTGATGCAACTTCGTTGCTTCAATGATCTCTCGCGAGAAGGTCTCCCCACCCAAGTGAAATAATTTGTAAACTAAAATACCTCTTAATCAAGTATGATATTCTGAGTTACAAAAAAAGAAGAAGACTGTGTAAATTAAAATACTGAATCTCAAACAGCTTGAGGCGTTAAATGAAAGGACGACACTCCTGCAGACGATAAATTTCCGTTATATCTCGGGGATATTTTTCCGTTATAACTCGGAATACCATCCTTGACATTTAGCTGGTATTTGATTCTCACTCTTCAATTATAATAGTTGAAGCGATTAAATATTGCATTCAATCGTCGCTTAATCCGATCACCTGTGTGCCTTCAATCCATTAAATCAGCATGCTCGTAATTCTTGTTCCACAGAGATATTACTTATGAATTTACACATCTTCGTAATATCTTTTAAATATTTCTATCAACGCTAATAAGGGATTAAGCGCGGATCCATCGGGGAGCCAGTTGTAGAATAATTTACGATCGAATTATGCCAGTCTCCTCTCTTCTCGGCGACCAACATTAAATTTTCCGCCCGTCGATGTTCGGAAAAAGATTAATGAAGCGCCGTTATAATTACCACCCCGGCCAAACAGACTTTTTGTACACTGTCTTAGCGGTGATAATCTCGTTTACGAAACAATGTAAAAGACAATTCTAATAGACGGGAACAACGAAAATGTCCGTTTATGCGCAAAATTACACATACGCAAAGCTGAGAGAGGATAATATGTTTCTCTTGTTTTTATCTTCTCGAGAAATGCGCTCGCAACGGTTCAGATTCAGAGGCAAATTTCTGCTTACACACTTGTCCGAATAAAGACGCGTAGCACGAATTCGCTTCTTCCGCGTGCACTAAAAACGATTTCGTACGCACTTCGTTATGCATTTACGCGTTGCTCGTGCACGCGCGCGCGCGCGCGCGCTCGAATTCGCGTGGCGAATTGCAGCGCCGAAAGAGCCGCGCGATGGCAAAGGCCAACAGGTGACGTTGTACTTTCGGCGCGAGACGCGGCGGTGATTAAAAAAGAAATTCATCAGCGCGCCGGGGGAAAGTATCAGGTGCAGCGGCGGCGGACGAGAGGGGAGCGATGCACCGCCGCCGTTAAAGTATTTATGCCGCATGACGAGTCACTTTTGGAATCCCGCCGTATATTATAAAGTATTATGCACGGGGACGATGACCAGGGCTCAAACCGTGACGGAAGCTACTGTAATTACGCGCAAGATGGTCGTGCGTGGCCGGCGTTGGTAGCCTCCATTGATCCCCGATCGAGAAACACGCGGTGAAAGGTGCGCGGCTTTTGTCCCGGGACCCGGGAGACAAGTGTCCGGTTTTATCCGAATTATTCGAAATTACGCTGAGAAATTGCGTCGCCGATCTCGCGATCCTCGTTTCAATCGTCGCATAAAGCAAGTTTAACCCTGACACCCGCCTGGGCTGCCGAGTGTTTTTAGAAGGTTGAGAGTTAGCGTGCAAAATAGCATGCTTCTAACACGTACGCTCTATCTAATGAATACATTATAAGCGTATTATATATTTCTTGGTGTTTAATATTAATTGCGTTGTGTATCATTAATTATCGAACTGTGGAGTCGTTCGTGACGGTAGAAAAGCTGGCGCGATATAATTAGCTCCACTGGCTAGCTATGCCGGTGTATTCATTCGCCTTGTTCGGCTCCTCGAGATGGAATCGTGATCCCGTCGAATAAATCAATCCAATCCTTCGCGAACGCTTCTTGAGTGTTTCTACGATTTCGTTTCTCTTTCTCTCCCCCTCTTTTTATAGAGCGTAAAAAAAAAGAGCGATCGATTTCAAGTCCGATATCGCGAGCGGATCTATCTTAGGAGTTGCGCGAGACTGACGAGGGATATCATTTTAACAGAATCTACCCCGATGTCAGGGGACACCGTAGATTTTGATGCGTGGTACGAGACCACCTCCCTCCCCGTTCGGACCCCTCGTTCGGACCAACCCCGTGCCGATGCTAAATACCCGGTGCGTACAATGGAGTACATATCGTTCGAGAATCTGAGCCATGCGAAGTCTTCC